GCACATCAAGACCCCATTGCCTCTCACATCCCGTCAGCTTGTCCGCCCTTCGCCAGAAGCCCATGGCTCTATGGTGTGTGGACCACAGCCACGGTTCCCCGACATCCCGTATGACACAGCTTATCACGACACGCCCTGGTTCCTCCATCTATAGACGCCCTCAGTTGGCTGCGCGAGTGTGGAGGAACCACGCCCACACCCTAGTCATTCCATACATCATTTGTACAGTGTTTGCGCCCACGCGTCCATTCAACACGCCCACGTTTCAATTAGACACGCCCATAGGCTCCATTTAGCACACGCCCACCGCCATGTGTAGACACGCCCACGCCTCCATTCAGGACACTCCCATGCGTTTCAATTTACGACACGCCCATGCTCCATTTAGAGACATCGCCCATGCTCCAATTTAGAGCACCGACCCCGACCGCTCTGTTAGACACGCCCACTTGCTCCATTTAGACACGCCCACGCTCCATTCAGACACGCCATGTGCCATGTAACATTGCCAGCGTTCCATTATGCACACCTCCCCCGTCCTCATTTAGAACACGCCCACGTCTCATTAGACACGCCCACGTTTTCGTTTAGAGCACGCCCACGTCTATTAACAGCCCACCGTTTCGTCCTAGCAACGCGCCCACGTTGCCATTTAGACCACGCCCACTCGTCCCCGGGCACGCCCCGCCCGCCGGCGCAAGCCCCGCCCCGCTCCCAGCACCGGTCGCCCGGCTCACCCGCAGCCGCCCCGCCGGCGAGCTCGCAGCTGCACGTTGTCGGAGGTCCGCGCTACGGGAGCCATCGCTGCGCTCTGGAAATTGGCTCAGTGGAAATTGCTGTGTCCACACACCCATGGGAGAATTGTGGCAGGGCCGCTGAGTGGAACTGCTGTTTCCACACACCCTAGAGCGGCGCCCACAGCGAGCACGAGCACAGCGAACGCGTTTCTGCGGAAATGGCCTCGTCCCCATCACGGAGCAAGGCGCCGCACCGCGATATGGGCAGGCAGGGCACCCGGTGCGTGCGAACTGGCTACCCTGTAGGCCCAGCACAGCCCACACACCCAAGGAGATTGGACGGGCAGCGGTCCAGATCGCTGCATGGAACACAGCGCTGGCACTGTTGTCCACACCAGCCCACGTGAGATGGGCAGCGCGGCGGCTAGACTCGGGAGAGCTCGGGCGGTCGCCCGGCACCAGCGCCGAGAGAACGCAGAGGAGACGCGGCAGGAGGCGAGTACCGCCTCGAGTGTCGCGAATGGCGCAGCGCGACACCACACTAAGGAGAAAGGCAAACCATGATCTGTGTGGAAATACTGTGTCACTACACCCACCGGGAGATGGAGAGACAGGTCTGTGTGGAGATGGCTGTGTCCACACAGCCGTCCGCCCGCCCACGCCCCACGCCCGGGTACCCTCGCTCCAGGCCCAGCGCCAGCGCGGGACGACTTGTTCGGCGGAGTGCTCTGTGTGCCGAGCGCTGGCCGTGCCTCGCACGCCACCCACAGTCCATCGGCATGGCGCGAGGCGCGCGCGACGCGCAGAGAGTCGCTGAGACCTAGGACCTGCCCCCCACACTGCGTCCATCAGCACGCGCATGGACGAGCGGCCAGGCCTGCGGGGGAGAGCTTCGTTGGGGCAGTGGCTTCCGAGAGCGCGCCGCTGTGTCCACGCACCCACAGGAGGTGGGCCGCTGCGCAGGTCCGCTGCCCTTTCTGTGGAAGGCTGGCGGATTCCAACACCGCAGCCTGCGCGCACCACTCACTCGGCGGGATCGCATGCCCAGGGTGCACGCTACGTTCGGTTCGCCCGAAGGGGCCTTACGCTAGCTGGCGCGGTTGAGCGGAACCGCTCCCAGTGAGCCCAGGCGTTGGCGCGCCTGTCTCATACGCTGAGCGCAACATGACTGGAGAGGTCGGCGGCGCTCAGCCGCCCCAGCCCCTGTAGCCGCGCGAGAGGAAGCGTTATGCGGAGAACAGCCCTCGCTTGCGTCGCTCTCAACACCCACGCCCCGACACACGGGAGACACCGAGCGAGTAGCCCCGGCCACAACACTGTCCGCTCGAAGGCGTAGCTGCGCAAAAGCCGTGCCGCTCCGCGCTGGGCGCTGCGCTGCCCACCGGGAGCACCAGGCGCCCATGACGCCACCTGTTGGGACTTAGGGACTTAGACCAGGACCCTCTGCCTGGTGACCACAGCCCGGGGACCAGCCGCTCAGGCCCTACTGCCAGCCCCGAGCCGCCCCTCTGTTGGGTATATTTGTGCAGCCAACAACCCTGCCGCAATCGTATGTGTCCAGTCCGTTCCCTTCCTTCACGCTGACGGCCCCTCACCTTTTTCAGAACCCAGCCCCCTCCTCTTGGAAGCCCATCGACCCCCCCAACCTGCCCCCCAATGAACCCTGCAGGCCCCCCTGTGACACCCCTGGTCCTCATAATCGCCTGGTGCCCTCTGCCTGCCCCAACGCCCATCTTCTGTGAGATGAGGAAACTGAGCCCGGAGCGCTGCCACAGCCGCCGGGCGGGCTCCGCCACTGCCTAACCTCCCGGCACCCACTGGTGCCCCGAAGCCGGATGCCGCCCTGCCAGGGCCAGCCTCCAGGCACGCTGTGCCTCCCTGGGTGGGGGCCGAGAAGCAGAGGTTGCCTGCCGGGAAGGGGGTCTGCGCAGGAACAGGGCAGCGCACAGGCACTTCAGGAGGGCGTCGGATCTTCCCCAGCGCGGTCCCTCTGAAAGACAACGGGGAGGCCGCGCGCACTGTTCATTAACCGCTCGCAATAGGATGCCCCGAAACCGTGCCCAGGCCGCGCCTGCAACAGGCCTGCGCGGTCCTGGCGGGGGCAGGGCTACCTTCCTCCCTGTGTGCCCCGGGCAGACATCACCAATCCATCCCGGCACCGTGTCCCAGCCTCAGCGGCCTGCCCAGCACAGCGCTTCTGAGCAGCCACCACGGCGGACCACGGGCGGACGGCGTGTGCAGGTTGGGCTGGGGCTCTGGACTCGGGCGGACGGGCCTGGGTTCCAACGTGACCCAACCGCTTTCTAGTTCTATGACTGGGGCCCCGTTTTCAGCCCTCCGGGCCCTGGTGTTCCTGCCTAATAAAGAAGGCTTAGGACCGGGCGCGGTGGCTCACGCCTGTCACCAGCCTCACTCTGGGAGGCTGAGGCGGGAGGATCACTCGAGGTCAGGAGTTCGAGGCCAGCCTGAGCAAGAGCGAGACCCCCGTCTCTACTAAAAACAGGAAGAAAATTCATTGGCCAACTAAAAATATATAGAAAAAATTAGCCGGGCGTGGTGGCGCATGCCTGTAGTCCCAGCTACTTGGGAGGCTGAGGCAGGAGGATCGTTTGAGCCCAGGAGGTTGAGGTTGCTGTGAGCAAGGCTGACACCACGGCACTCACTCTAGCCTGGGCAACAGAGCGAGACTCTGTCTCAAAAAAATAAAAACAACAACAAAAAAAAAACCAATCTGTTTCTGCACCATCTGGGGGCAGGAGAGTCCCATGGTGAAGGAGACGGCCAGTTCTGGCCCAGCCCTTTGTCTCAACGGGGTGACATGTCCTCGCCCGTGACACGGAGCAATTAGTGACAGGCCTCAGCACGGCTGGGCAGGCTGGTGAGATGGTGCAGGCCCCAGGCTACGCACTTGCCAGGCTCCCGCCTGCAGGGAAGTTTTGCTCCACATTATGCATTATGGTGAGAGAGAGAAGGGGGAGAGAGGAGGGGGAGGGGGTGGGAGGGGAGGAAGGAGGAGGGAGAGAGGACAAGCTCTGCAGGGACCCTGCACCCCGAGGCCAGGTCTGAGTCACGCCCGCTCCTGTCGTTGCCCATCTCCCCACATGCACACTGACACCGGGTTTTATGGTTTTTTCGCTCTGCCATTTTGCTTTCTGGCCTCTTGCCCCAACCGTCCCTCTCGCCGGGGTGACAGTGGGCTTTTCTCTCCGGCGCAGGGGTGCTGCCCCAGCACGTGTGGCTGTCACCCCTGGGTGGGGGGCGCTACTGCCACCCGGTGGCCGGCCCCGAACGCCACCGGGCAAACCTGCTCTCAGGGACGCGGGTCTCACCGGGGCAGCCGGGGCCGAGGGCGTCCAGGAGGCGGAGGTAGTCTGGCTGGGAGGTCAGCAGCCTGTAGCCCGTCAGCACCGCGGAGCCCAGCGGACGAGCCCCCCGCTCGAAGTCCTGCGGAAGACACCGGAACACCGACCCGCACAGGTCTACACTGCGGGCTTCCTGTGCCGCCCTGGGGTCCAGGGAGGAATCTGGATTCACAGCCCCTCCTTCCCCTCCCGCCCTTTCTTGTTTTCTTTTCTTTTCTTTCTTTTTTTTTTAGACAGAGTCTCACTCTGTTGCCCAGGCTAGAGTGAGTGCGTGCCGTGGCGTCAGCCTAGGCTCACAGCAACCTCCGACTCCCTGGGCTCAAGCGATCCTCCTGCCCAGCTCCCGAGTACTGGGACTACAGGCAGCGCGCCACCATGCCCGCTCATTTTTTCTATATATTTTTAGTTGGCAATTAGTTTCTTTCTATTTATAGTAGAGACGGGTCTCGCTCATTTGCTCAGGCTTGTTTCGAACTCCTGACCTGGAGCGATCCTCCCGCCTGGGCCTCCCAGAGTGCCTGGGATGACAGGCGTGCTCCGCCCTCTGCAACTGTTCTTCCAG